TTTTTTTCCCAAAACTCAGAAATTTTGGGATGCTCAGAGGACATGGGACATTGGAATTTTTTTTCCCCATAATTCAGAAATTTTGGGATCCCCAGAGAAGGCAGGACACGTGGAGGTTTTTTTTCCATAACTCAGAAATTTTGAGGTAGGACACTCAGGGATTTTTTTTTTTTTCATAACTCAGAAATTTTCAGCTGGGACACACAGAGTTTTCCCCCATAACTCAGAATTTTTGTAAGGATTCCAATCAAGGAAGGGATTATTTTTCCCCACATGCCAGGAGAAGGTGCAGGGTGGGTTTTGTTTTCACCTAGAGATTTCCCTTGCACCCAAAGAATAAAATAAATAAATGTGCTGGAAGGGATTATTTCACTCCTCTGGGGTTTTTTTGGGCCCAATCCTCACCATTCCCCCTTTCCCCACGTGCCAGGAGAAGGTGCAGGGTGGGTTTTGTTTTCACCCAGGGATCTGCCTTGCACCCAAAGAATAAAATAAATAAATGTGCTGGAAGGGATTATTTCACTTTTTTGCTCTCACCTAAGGATCTGCAGTGCTTACATCATCCCCCTGTATTTTTTTCAGGGTAGCCACATGGTCTAAAAAAAGCAAATATTCTGAATTTCCCTGATGTAAAACACAGCAGAGAGAGGAATTTATTTTCATGTTTGGGCTGTTCAGAGTCTGGAGCTCCTGGCTGTTGAGCAGAATTTCTTCTGCACTCCTGACAGAAACAGCTTGGACTCAAAGAATAAAATAAATAAATGTGCAGGATTATTTCACTGCTCTGGTTTTTTGGACCCAATTCTCAGCCTCCTCCTCTTACCCAGGTGCCAGGAGAAGGGAGCAGGGTGAGTTTTGTTTTCACCTAGAGATCTGCCTTGCACCCAAAGAATAAAATAAATAAATGTGCAGGATTATTTCACTGCTCTGGTTTTTTTTGGGCCACATCCTCACCATTCCCCCGTTCCCCAGGTGCCATGAGCAGGGAGCAGGGTGGGTTTTGTCTCACCCAGGGACCTGTAGTGCTCCAGGATGGAGGTTCCGTGTGTCCTGGCAGGCAGCTGGGGGCTGTGGAAGTCCTGCAGCAGCAGGCGCCGGCTCCCTGCCGAGGTGCAGATGTAATTACTGAGGCGGCCGCTGATGCCTTTGGACACCATGCTCAGCGTGCTGATGTCCTTCACTGCAAAAGCAAAGCCCAAAAAACTCCTAAATCCCAACTGCAAGGGGAAAAAAAAAAATGCTCATGGCAGTCAGGGACTTCTTCTGGCTTCCAAAACAAGCAGGAATGATGTTTTATGAATTAATTGCTGTCGGTCTGCTTTGCTGGTGAACTGCAGTACTTACCAATTGACAGATGGAAGGAATAATTTTCACTTTTGACAGGCAAACAGCAAGTTTAAATAATTTGTGATTGTCACTGAAATTTTAGTCAGTTGTTTTTTTCCGTACTTAAAAAGGTGGAAATTCAGAATTAAAGCCACATCAAAATGCGAATCTTTGTGATTTCTTCCTAAATTAAAAAAAAAAAAAAAATCGGAGGTAATTTTGAGCTATTGATATTTCTGACCAGGCCCTCACCTGAGAGGTAATTCAAGACCATCTGGAAGATCTCCAAGGGCAGAATTTGGAAATCTCCCAGCGCTGACAGAGCCGGGGCATCCCCGCCCGAGGCGCGGCCAGGGCGGCGCCTGCTCCTCCTCTGCCTCCGTCTGGGGACAGAGCTGCAGCTCGAGGTCATCCTCACAAACGGAACCTGGAGAGAAAAAAAAAAAAAAAAAATCAAAAAACTGAGATTAAAACTCATTTTCCAAGGAGGAAAAGGTTCCCAGGAGGAGGCTGAGAGGAAATGATTCCCTTGGAGACACAGGGTGAAAATTTTGTCTCTGTGTGTGTGTGTGCTTGGATTCAGTTCCTAAATAACTCGAAATTCGCTAAATAAATTTAAGAATGAAGAATAAAACGTGTTCTAGCTAATAATTAATGCGTTGAAATGTGGAAATAAAGCGTGGGGGAATGGAGGGTTCAGCTGATTTATGGGGAGGAAGAGACAAAAGCACCGAGGGCACAGAAAGTGAGGAAAACAGTTCTGGAAAGGAATCCAAATAATTAACTAATTAATTTGTCACACTAATTATTCAACAGAACACCCAACTTTCGGGGCTGTTATGGAAAGGATCATCACTGTTCCTTTAGAGTGATAATTATTGATTGTGTAGGATCAAATTAAGGATTAAAAGCACCGAAATGATTCTTCAAACTCTTCTTTTCCTGCAGCACCGAGTTGGTGCAAGGCTGGATTTGACATAAAGTGATTTAAAAATAAATGATACAGCATTGCCCCGCGGAAAATGCCAGCGCTTCAAAATCACGAGGGGCTGAAAAGGAGCTGTGAAAGAATCAATAAATGGGATTTTTTCATTCAAATTCTGGGTTTGGAGTGCTTAGAGCAGCCAGATTTCACAATGCCAGGCAACACTGGGACTCGCCGTGGGTTAAATTTCTGTTTTAAATGAGATTTTTTCAGGCTGGTCCCTAATTCCAGGAGTTGGCTGGAGCATCCCTGGAGCTGCAACAATCGCAGCAGCGGGGAAATCCTCCCAGAGAACAAATCCCATTGTTCTCGGGACTGAAAATTTACAAAAATTACAGACAGCAAACCCCAAACACCCTCCTTGTTGATCGCTCCAGCCAGACTCTCTGATATTCCACAGAGGGGAAATTCCCTGCCCACAATCAGGGCTCTGTTCCTGCTGAGAAATTGAGGAATTTGGAGAAAAGTTCTCCCAGCTCTGGGGAGAATGGGAATTGTATATTTAAGGAATTTTTATTTATTTATATTTTTTTATGTCGCTGGGAGCATTTTTAATTTAGCCCTGGGATATTTCTGGCTTGCTAAAGCAGCTGAAAACTTTCACAAGGCTTGGGAGAAAATGTGGCTGTTGCTAAAATTAGGATTTTAAGAGGGGGGAAAATAGCTTTAGGAAAAATCACCTCTAGATAAAATGATATTAAAAATGCTTATCTTCTCAAAGCAAGGATTTTTTCACACAGAAATGTGGATTCCACACAAATTCCTTGTGGACCACACAGAAATCAGCCCTTTTTTTGACCAGGCACCACTAAACTTGGCTAAATCTGATGCATATTTCTGATCCAGGCTTTAAAAATAAAGTTGCAATCCTATGATACTTTGTTCACCTCCCACTCTCCTTTCTGTCTGGAGCTGTGGGGATTTGTGGAATCTTTCAGGTTTTTATTTTTTTTATTTTTTTTTTTTAAATCTTACCTTAGCTCTCCAGTTGTGGGAGGAAAAATACTTTGCCACCAGCGAGGTTTTTGGGAAGGATTTGTCCAATATTTATCTGTTCCAATCTGGTCGAAGTTAAATTGATTATCAGTGTTTTAATGCAGAGCAGAGCTAGATAAAATTAATGTAAACAAAAATGAGGGCAAACAGCCACTTTTAAAGCTTTTCCTGAAAGCTCCCATTTGCTTCCTCTTTGACTAAAACTGTTTTATTTTTAATTTCTGAGGGAGCTGAGGCAGAGCAGGGGCAATGGGATGTGCATCTCCATCTGCTGCTGGGACACCAGTGTTTGGAGAACTGCTTAATCCACACTGGAAATGGAAAGGTAAATGTTAAATATTTAACGAGCTAAACTCATAATATTAGCTAAGAAGGGTCATCTTATTTGTCACTATAAACTAATTTGTTTACAAGGCAGAAAGCATCAACTTCCACCCTTGTTGCCCTTAAGCAGTCGCTAAACTCCTGCTAATGGATGCACTTTAGTCCTGTTAGCATTTGGCAAACATTTATTGTAAAAAAAAGTCGTTTACTCTGGAGATTGCTTTGGGATGTTTCCCTTTCCCTTCCTCATCACCAGGAGCCTTTGAATATTAACTCGATGGGGGTTTTGTTTTTTCCTGTTTTTCTCTGGTCTTTTGTGGTATAAAAATGAAAGAAAACAGAGTGGAAGAAAATAAAATAATAATTATTTTCAAGTGCAAGCCAAAGTGGGGGATGGCAAACCTGAGAGCACTGAGTGCACTCACTGAGTTACCTTAATACTTGTTACCCCCGGCCTGCACTGAAAAATTTTGTTTAAAAATGTGTTTTTATTTATAAGAAAGGCTCTAGGTAAGATTGATGGTGACAATCAGTCTCAAAAACACCTCAATTCGAGAATAATGTGAATATAAAGCTGAGGGCTCCTGGGCCTGTTGTTGATGGTGGCCGGGTTTTGGTATGAGAGGCTCCCAATGAGGGGAAAAACACTAAAAATGGCCTTTTTTTCCCTCACTCCAACCTGGATTTGCTCCTCAGGCTTTAATATTTGATGAAATGGGTTAATTTTGGCTTTTTACCTGTGATTTTGGGTTAGATTTGGACAGGCCTTTAGGCTGAAGGATGGGCCAGGCCGTGTCCTCCACCATGGCCCCTCTCCCCCAAACTACCAAAATTCGTGGCTAAAGGACTGAAATGAGGAACCTGCACCCCAAAACCTACATAAAATTACTAAAGGATGTCTCACAGTTGATGGTACTCACATAAAACAAATTTTTCATCAGCTTTTTACCTCAGGAAAATCCCTTTCCACAAACAGCCCCAGCCGGGCGCCCACAGGGAGCTCTGAGGGAGCAGCAGGGGACGGGGGTGTGGGGTCACCAAACCCCGCATCCCTGAGGGGAAAAGAAACCCCAAACTGCCATTTTAAAATCCTTACTATTGCAATTCAACTCTTTAAAGCCTTATTGCAGCCAAATGTTGCTGGTTATTTGGATTAAAAGGGGTTTAGGTGGTAAGAACAGGGGCGGGTGTGTACAGACAGCACAGCTGTGTTTGGGAGCCTCAGCCGGGAGCGGAAATGTCGGCAAATACCGAAATCCAGCACGGTAAATTGGGATTTTGTAGCTGTCAGTGTGGCCACAGACGTGTTGGAGGGAGGAAATGACCACAGACAACAAGAGCGAGTCCCTTCAGCGCTGTTTCCTGAGCGCTATTGCCAACCCCGCCGCTATTTCAGGTGAATTTTTGCGGCTTTTGGGTAATAACGAATTTTCCCGCCCTTTCCGCCCGCGGCCGCTTCCGGCGGGCGGGTGAGGGGCGCGAGCGGCGCGTGCGCGGCGTTTCCCCGCCCATTCATGAATATGTAAATTAGGCCACGCCCCCTCGCCATAACGGGAAGGGCTCTGCCCGTTACGCGCTCAAGTGGTCACGCCCCTTCATGAATAATTAATGAGGGAGCGTATGAGTTTTGGCGGGAGGGACATCGGGGGTGTCCTCAGGGCGGGGGGGTTGGGGGTGGGGTGGAGAGGCTCAGGTGTGGGGGCTCAGGTGTGTGGCATGGCACAGGTGTGGGGCACCATGGATGTAGGGTACGGCAGGGATGGGGCGCCACAGGTGTGGAGTACCAGGGATGGGTGCCACAGGTGTGGGGTACCAGGGATGGGTGCCACAGGTGTGGGGTACCAAAGATGGGTGTCACAGGTGTGGGGTACCAGGGATGGGTGTCACAGGTGTGGGGTACCATGGATGGGGTGCCACAGATGTGCGGTATCACAGGTGTGTGGGGTATCACAGGTGTGGGGTACCAGGGATGGGTGTCACAGGTGTGCGGTATCACAGGTGTGTGGGGTATCACAGGTGTGGGGTACCATGGATGGGGTGCCACAGATGTGCGGTATCACAGGTGTGTGGGGTATCACAGGTGTGGGGTATTACTGGGTTTGGGGTATCATCCCTCATCCTCCTCCTCATCCTTCATCCCATCCCTCATCCCCACCCCTCACCCCCCAGAGCCGCTGTGGTTTCACACCTGGCAGTGTCCCAGGCCAGGCTGCACATTTGGAGCCCGCGGGGACATTGGGAGCTGTCCCTGCCCATGGCAGGGGTGGCACTGGGTGAGCTTTAGGGTCCCTCCCACCCAGCCCGTTCCAGGATTCTGGAATTCTCCGTGCTGAGCTCTCACTGATCCCTGCACATCTGGATTTCTGGATTATCCCATGGAACGCTGTCACTCCACGAGCTGCGACCTCAGGGAACCACAGCGAGGTTCCTCTGTCCGAGCAGCACATTCCTGCTCAGACTGGCTCTAAAATAACCCAAAATTTTATTTTTTTTTTTAATAAATTCTCCTTCGGGAGGGGCTGACTGGGAATAACTGCAGAGTTCTCCCAGGAGAGTTTTCCCTGCTGCTCCAAAGGCAGCTCCCATACGATGGCAGCAGAGTCCTGCAGCTGCTTTTTTACCCAATATTTTTATTTTTTTACCCAAACACAGGTGTTTGTTTTATTTTCATTCTTGGCTTGTTGTTTTATTTTATTTTATTTTATTTTATTTTATTTTATTTTATTTTATTTTATTTTATTTTCCCTTGTAACCTCATTGAGAAAAAAACTCAGAGAAGCTGAAATAGAAACAAAACCAAAAATCACCCTCAAACGGAAGGGAATGAGAGCGGCTCCTTAAATTAATGACGTCATCACGACGGCAATATTTTTAAAAAATTAAAAGTTAAATTAAATAAATGCACAAAAATAATATTCCTTGAGCAGCACAGGGCAGGCAGAGCCTGAAGTGAGGCTGCTCCTGGTTCTTTTTCCTCCTGGGATCCAGGATTGGAATAAATGTTTCCCTGGAATTTCATCCCAAATCCATAAATCCTGTTGGGTGCATTACACCCCCAAAAATAAAATAAAATAAAATTTAAAAAATAAAAAATAATAAAAAAAAGAGAATTCCAGAGTTCTCATTTACCCCAACATTTCTAGAAATTATCAGATTTCTCATTTATCCAATTGTTTGTAGAAATTACCGGATTGTTCATTTTCCTCGTTTCTAGAAATTACCGGATTCCATTAGAGAAAAAAAAAA